TACCAGACACACAGCCCTCCAGCCACACAGCCCCCCCTAGACACACGGTCCCCAGACGCACGAGTTCCCGCAGACACACTGCCCCCAGACACACAGGGGGCCCCCATAGCACACGGCCTCTACAGACACAACAGGTCCCCAGACACACACGCCCCCAGACACACAGCGGGGCGCGCCTAGGACACACAGCCCCAGACACACAGCCCCCAGACACCACAGCCCTACAGACAACGCAGGCCCAGGCACCACAGAAGCTCTACAGGCACACACAACCCTTACAGACACACGCCTCCAGGCACACAGCCCCCCGTAGACACAAGCCCCAGACACACAGCCCCCAGACCAGCAAGCCGCCATAGACCACACGCGAGTCCCCACACAGTCCCCAGACACACAGCCGCCTAGACACACGAGCCCCAGCAGGCACAACCCCCCAGCACACACAGCCGACAGGGACAACCAGGCCCCCAGACACACAGCTGTAGCAGACACACAACGCCTACAGAGCACACAGCCGCCAGGACACCGCGCCCCCAGGACAGCCAGCCTCCCAGACACACAGCCCTGGAACAGCGTGGGGTGCTCAGGCGTGAGAGACCAAGGAAGGAAGCCCGCAGCGGGCCTTCTTGGAAAATCACGCATTTGGATAGTCAGTAAAATCTTCTTGAAGCCTCCCGTTGCGTTCTTAGGGCTGGCTGCCAAGTACAGGATAGAGCGGTCACATGTTGATAGACGACAAGCACCTGCAGGGCAGGAAGCTGACTCCCTTCAAATTTCCGTAAAATCAGGCAATTCTTTTTTAGTGATTTTGTTGTTTGGACGAGGGGGGGAGGCGGCGACTGGCTCGTCAGCTTGGTAGCTGGATGTCGCAAATGCGGCCCAATCTTGGCAGTCACTCGTCCCTCGCTCTCCTCTCTGGTTCAGAGTGATGCTTCTGCGCTCAGCCTCCCGACAGATAAGCTTGGGATTACAGGGGCGCCAGCCACTTGCCCCCGGTTACTTTTGTTTTGTTTTGCTTCTGTTTGTATTTTTTAGTTAGAGACAGGTTTCCACATGTTAGCCAGAGCTGGGTCTCAAACTCCTGCCTCAAGTGATTCGGCCCACGCTCAGCCTTCCCAAGAGTGCGGGATTACAGCATGAGCCACGCGCCTGGCCGTATTTGGTTAGAGGTAGAATTATAAAACAATGGAAAGTCTAAGTGCTTTAAAAGGAGTATCTGTCACAAACTTGGGCCTCCTGGAGCCCTGGAGAGGTGGGCTCCCAGAGGCCAGGCAGGATGGACCCTCAGCCCTTTGCTCAGGAGGGTTTTGGCAAGTGTCTTGTGGAATGGGAGATTCTTACATGTGGCAAAGATGGTAGCAGATGTGGCACCGTTTCCGGAAGATCCAGTCCCTGCTAGGTGGGTTTTCGAGCTCCAGTAAGGTGTTAGGGCTCCGTCAAGCGGGGCGTGACTGCCAAGACCAGACGGCCAGGTGGAAAGGAATCTATCAGCATCTTGCAGTTTGTGTTTCTTTCATTCTTGGTCCCAAATGTGTACTGCTTGTTATCTACAGTCATCAGAGATTAGTCTGTGGTTGATTCTCAAGGGAGGCCATACAAGGATGGAGAAGCATGTTGAATTCCTCTACCTTGGTGAGTCAGATGAAAGAAATCTGAGTGGACCCTGGGCCATGCATCCAGGAACCATGGCTCACCCTTGAGCAGCCTGTGTGAATTTCAGGCATATCTCTGCCGCTGCTAGGGGAAGAGCCATCTGTGTGAAGCACTGGCCATGCAAATCTACTGTCTCTACATGAATGGCAGCTGGCATGGTTGGAGGACTGCCCTGGTTCATACATGGCGCAGCTAGAGCTGTCTACAGAGCCATCCAAGGTGAACAGTGGTTGGCCAACGTTAGCAACCCAGCCACGATGGGCTTTTGGAGCTTCTCTGAGCACACATGGTTAGCACCTCTAATGGCTTAGCAGAGTGAGGGTGCTGCGGGGGTGGGCCTTGAGCCATGGCCTGGACCCTGAAGTGCATGGCACTGACCGAAATCCCAGAACCTTCCTGATTGTGTTTTTCTTAAAAGATGCCACCCACAAACACTAGGTCCTTCCACCCTCGGGTGATCTGCTGGGCTGGCTGCTGTTCCAGTGGCACCCTGGGCTGGCCGCCGGGGGAAAGCAGTGCAGAGCACCCCTGGCCACCTGGAGACACTCTCAGTCTGGCTTAAGCCATCTGCACTTTACCTTACCAACATGGCAGGTAGACTAGATGGCTGGGTACATCCCAGGCTATGGGTTGGTGTGTCTGAGCTGGCTTGTTCAAGGCCATTTGGACTGTCACTCCCTAGCTAACCCAGGCCAGCAAAGATCCTCCAGCTCCTGCAAAGGGCTCTGGGTGGCTCTGTTCCTGCTTCTCCACACAAAGTTGCCCTTGCAGGGTTGCCTTCTGAAGAACGTTCTATCTGTTTTCAACGAGGTACTATCTAAAGACTGACCACAGCAACTCCCACACACCTCCTTTCCACAACAAACAGTAACAAAGGAAAAAATTCTCTTCTGAGCTGACAATGGAAAAGAAAGATTTTGCCTCCTGCACTTGTTTAAACTGACTCACTCTGTTCTCTTCAGAACATGCCAAGTGACTAATGGACACAGTAGAGGCACAGCTTTAATGGGAAAAAAGGTGGGGCAGGAGAGTTTCTCAACTATAATTGTGGGATTTAGGTATTACACGGCTTTTAAAGAAACTAGGGTTACTGGAAAGTGTGTTGCTATTTTGGTAGATGGCTTCATGGCCTGGCTTTCACTATGGAATACTGCTCACGCCCTCCGTGAATATCATTCCCAAGTTTGCCCAGGAACACCCTGGGCTTTGTCCTCCCACTTTTTAGCATTGGATCAAAGTAATCCTTGACTTTGAGTTTACAAACATTCTTAATATTAGAGCTCAGCTTTAGGTTCTGTCTTTGGAGACTTTCCCCAGAGATACGGATATAAACAAATTTAGTGTTTCGTTTCGCTGCTGGTACATTTTAATTTATGTATGATTCAACCCATTTTTCCTACTGGAAATGGTGTAAAAGATGAATTCGGAAATGTGTGCAATGTCTACTTATCTTGATGAGCAGAGTGTAGGAACCAAGAGATTGGATACTAGAGAATTTAATTTTGTCTTAAAGATTTTTTTTTAATCTTGTGTATTCATAGAGAAAGCAAAAAGAGGGCATAAACATAAGAAAACTGGGTAAATCACATTGCACAGAAGACTGCGCAGTCCTGGGCAGTTCTACGGATCTGTCACTAAGCTGCCTCCGAGCCTCAGTTTCTTCTTCTGTGTGGTGGGGATGATGATGCCGCCCAGCCTGTCATTGTGAAGATGAGCTAAGTGATGCAGGTGGCTGGGCCGCATGGAGTGAAAGCACTTGGCTTCTGGGTTTAACTCATCCAGTGACCCGCCGAGCACAGGAAGAGAAGCGCTGATAGGGTGGGCCATGACAGCAGGTATAACCGTGGCCCAGGAGAGCACAAGGACGTGTCATATCATGGGGTATGTGTGGTGTGCTAGGGCTGCCATAACAAAATATCACACACGGGGCAGCTCAAACAGCAGAAACGGATTGTCTCACGGTCCTGGAGGCCTGGAGTCAGAAACTCAGGGGTCTGCAAGGCCACGTTCCCTCTGAGATTCCACGT